GTCCGCATGGGGTCTGTGTCGGGCCCCATTCAACCCGTATGGGATCTGCATCGGGCCCCATACGTTCCGTATGGTGTGTGCATGGGGCTCCATGTTCTCCGCATCGCATCTGTATCAGGCCAAAATCAATCCGCATGGGCGCTGTATCGAGCCCGATGCAATACATATGGGACATGTTTCGAAGCCCAAACGATGCGCATGGGATCGGTATCGGGTGCCATGCATTCCGTACAGGATCTGCATCGGATCCGATGCAGCCCGCATGGGGTCCGTAACGGGCCCCATACAATCCACATGAGGTCTGTATCGGGTCCATGCAATCCGCATGCGGTCTGGATTGGATCCCATACAGTCTGTGTGTGACCTGTATTGAGCCCGATTCAATACGTATGCGATCTTTGTCGGGCCTCATACAATCCGCTTCGGATCTGCATCCGAACCCATGCAATCCCTCTGGGATCTGTATAGGGACCCATGCAACCTGCATGGGATCTGCCTCGGACACCATAAAGTTCGTATAGGCTCTGTATCGGACACCCTACAGCCCGTCTGGGGTCTGTTTCGGATCACATACAGTGCGTATGAGATCTGTGCCAGGTCCCATACTGTCCGTTTGGGGTCTGTGTCGGGACCCATCCAACCCGCATGGCATCTGCATCGGGTCCCATACATTCCGTATGGTGTGTGCATGGGCCCCCATGTTCTCCGCATGGGATCGGTATCGGGCCAAATATAATCCGTATGGGTTCTGTATCGGGCCCGATACAATACGCATGAGATCTGTATCGGACCCCACGCAATGCGCATGGGATCTGGATCGGGCGCCATATTCCGCACAGGATCTGCACGAGCTCCGATACAGTCCGCATGGGGTCCGTAGCGGGTCCCATACAATCAGCATGGGATCTGTATCGGGACCCATGCAGTCCGCATGCGGTTCGTATTGGATCCCGTGCAGTCTGTGTGTGACTTGTATCGAGCCCGATTCAATACGTATGCGATCTTTGTCGGGCCTCATACAATCCGCTTCGGATCTGTATCCGCGCCCATGCAATCATTTTGAGATCTGCATCGGGGCCCATACAACCCGCATGGGATCTGCCTCGGGCGCCATAAAGCTCGTATAGGGTCTGTATCGGACACCCTACAGCCCGTATGGGGTCTGTTTCGGATCCCATACGGTGCGTATGAGATCTGTGCCATGTCCCATACAGTCCGTATGGGGTCTGTGTCGGGACCCATCCAACCCGCATGGCATCTGCATCGGGTCCCATACATTCCGTATGGTGTGTGCATGGGCCCCCATGTTCTCCGCATGGGGTCGGTGTCAGGTCAAATACAATCCGTATGGTGGCTGTATCGGTCCTGATGCAATACGTGTGGAATCTGTTTCGAAACCCAAGCGATGCGTATGGGACCTGTATCGGTTTCCATCATCCGTGCAGGACCTGTATCGGACCCGATACAGTCCGCATGGGGTCCGTAGCGGGCCCCATACAATCCGCATGAGGTCTGTATCGGGCCCCATGCAATCCGTATGCGGTCTGGATTGGATCCCATACAGTCTGTGTGTGACCTGTATTGAATCCGATACAATACGTATGCGATCTTTGTCGGGCCTCCTACACTCCGCATGTGATCTGTATCGGAGCCCACGCAGTCATTCTGAAGTCTGTATCGGGACCCATGCAACCCTCCTGGGATCTGTCTCGGTCACCATAAAGCTCGTGTAGGGTCTGCATCGGACACCCTGCAGCCCGTGTAGGATGGGCCGTGCGCGTGCGTGCGTGCGTGCGTGTGTGTGTGCGCATGCAAACGCGTGTGCGTGCGTGTTGGCGTGTGCGCGTGTGTCTGTGTGTGCGTGCCGCGTGTTTGGCCAGGGTGGGTCTTGCGGGGCTGGGGGAATAGGGTGGGGTGGTGGTGTTGGTGCGGTGGTGGTGGGGCGGGGTTGGTTGGGTGCGTGCGTGTGTGTGTCGGATGGTGTGTGTTTGTGGTGGGTATGGTGGGCGCGAGCAACTTGTGCGCGGGGTGGAGGTGGGGTGGGCAGGGTGGGGGGGTGGAGTTGCGTGGTTGGGGGTGGGATGGTGGATGCTTGTGTGCGTGGGAAGGGGGCTGGCGTGGTGGTTCTGGTGGCGGCGGTGGCGTGGGCGTGTGTGTGGGGCGCGTGGGCTGCGTGAGACAGGGCGCGTGGTGAGGGTGGGCGGATCGCGTTTGGGATGCGTGGGCTTGGGCGGCGGATGGGGCGTGGCGTGGCACAAGGGTGGAGGGTGGGGATCGGGTGGTCTGGGCAAGGCTGGGACGCGCGGATGCGGTGGCTGGTGGGCGGTGGCGGTGGTGCGCACGCACGTTGGGATGAGGGCGCGGGATGCGGACGGCTTCCGCAGGGGAGGGGGATGGCGCGGCGTGGCGGAGTGATGGGTGGGGATGCGTTGGCGGGGGAGGGGATGGGCATGAGGCATCGGTTGGAGCGGGTGCGTGCGGAGGGTGAAGTTTCGCCTGGCGCGGTTTGCAGATGGCGGGCGAGCGGGCGGGCGAGGCGCGGGGTTGGGTCTGCGTCGGCATGCGACGGGGTGAATGGGCGCGTGGGGTGACGGGAGCGGGGGGGGGGGGGGGGGGGGGGGGGGTGGGGGGCGGGGTGGCATCGTGGTTGTGGCGTGGTTGCCGGGTTCGGGTTGGGGGGAGGGGTTACAGCGGTGGTTTATTTGCGCGCGTTCGCGGCGGCGGGGTGGCGGTGGTTGTTGGTGGTGGCGGGGGGAGGGGGAAGGATGGAACGCGACGGTGGATGTTGGGGGCGGGGGCGCGCGGGCGGGTGGGTGGGCGGGTGGGCGCGGGGGCGGGGGGTGGGGCGGAGCGGCGTGGTGCGGGGTGGGGGCGGGGCGGGTGGGAGGGGGGCATGGCTGCGAGCATGACGCTACAATGAAGCAATGCGTCAAACTATTTTCTGGCGTGTGGGGGGGGGGGAGGGGGGGGTGCTGCCAAAGTGTGGTTTGGCTTGGCCATGGACCAGAAGTGGGTTGCGCGCGTAAGTTTTGCGAGCGTCGCGCGTTGCGCGCGCGGTGGGGGCACTCCCTGTTAAGTCAGTCCGCCGACCACGCCATGAACTTGTTGGCGCGGTCGGTGGCACGTCAGATCCAGGGCTACCGCGCCGTGCGATCGGGCGCCGCGTCGGTCCAGGAATTTGTTTCAGGCGGGCGCGTTGGTCAGTTCGTTCGCGGGCCTGGGGCGGCCATTGCGCGCGTGCTTCGCAAACGCGCGCGATGTAGCGGGTGGTCGCGCCGCGCACATTGACACGTTATTTTGGGGCTGGCATGACATGGCGCCGTCGCAAGCCGACGGTAGGAATGTTTTCCTTACGGTTATTTGGGGTTTGCGGAACCACAGACGTGCCATGTAGCGCGTGCTCGGGCAACCGTGGCACATTACATGGGCGGGTCGCCCCACGAAGGAACGCGCGCCTGAGTTGCGTAGCTCCGCCCCGCGCCTGCGTGCCTCCAGGCGCGTTGCACTTAGCAGCGCGCGCTTGTCATCAGGATGTCTTCAGGACGCTTCTAGGACTGATGAAAACTATCTTGCAAACTTGCTGGGCCAACCGCGGTGGCATCTGAAATCCGCGCGTCCGTTGCAGTGTAAAGCAACTTGCATGCCCAAGGGGACTCACACGCCTTCGCTCGATTTCGAGCGCGGTCAGTTAGTTCTGTCTGCCCAGCGTGAGTGGCTGCGCCTGGTGTCAGGCGCGAAGGGTTGCACCGACTTAATATCAGCGTTGTTCTCTTCCTCTTGTCCAGCAAACCGTGGCCAAGACCAGAGGGGTTCTTCGGGAATTATGCGCGTCTCCGCTTTGGTTTTTCGGTAGTAAGAGCCTCGTCGCCATGCACGGACGTCGGCTGTGAGAAATCATTTCGACGCGTGGGCCCTTCTCCCGCATTGCGTCGCGTTTGTTTTTCTCCTGGCGTTCAATTGAGAGTGTGCCAACCTACCAATGTCACGGCGCGGCATGCGCAATCTTCGGCTTTATATGGGGGCGCGCACGTTCGCGCGGACTGGGCGTCTTTGGGGGAGGGGGTGGGGCAGGGGGGTAGACGACAAGTTTGCGACGTCAGTCTCAAACGGCGGCGCATAGCATCGCATCGCGCAGCATCGCATCGCGCAGCATCGCGTTGCGTTCTGCCCACTGAAGCGTTCATTCAACCGCAAAAAAAACAACGGAAGCTGCCTGTTTGGAAACGCCTTTGCTTCTTTGGGCGTTAAATCTAACTGGAGAAGCGGCTCCCCAGGGCCCGAGTATGTGATGCAGCGCGCCTCTAAATGAGGGCCAGCCTCCCTCCTCCTCCTCCTTCTCCCTCTCCTCCTCCTCCTCCTCCCCCCTCCTTCCCTCCCTCCATTTCTCCTCCCTCGTCCCTCCTCCCCCCTCCTCCCTCCTCCTCCTCCTGCGTCCTACAGGTCGAGCCTACGTCGACAGTTTGCGATTTTGAATTGAGTCAGCTCGCAGGATGACACCGTAGCGTGGTCAAATCGCAATGCATACGCTATGATAAGTTTCCATTGTTCACGTTTTCTTCTCCGGTACCATGTGGCTCAAACCATCTGCTCTTCCGAGCGGTTCGTTGCTGCATCTGTTTCCAGATCGATTACCGTTCCACGTGCAGTAGTAGTGGCAAGCGTCAATGGGGAGGAAAGGCAGAGCCCAGTCAGCGATGGGCAGTGAGCAGCGCGATGCCGCTCCTCGCGGTGCTAAGCCTGCTCGAGGCGGGGTTGCTGCTTCCAAGCGCAAGGCTGCTGCGATGGGGGACTCATATTATCCAGATCAGAGCTGCGACTTCCAGCTTCCAGGGCTTTCGTCTTCCAGCGGGGGCTCGAGCACTGATGCGCCGCATCCAGACTCTGGTCCTCATTTGCGCGGCCATGGCGAAGACTGCAGGTGCCAGAGGTGCGGCAAGACTTCTGCTCCGAGCATGCTGGTCCCCCTCTCGGTCAACGCATGCGACCCCTGCTATGCCCCCATGTCGGCGTTCCACGCGATCGGGCTCTCCTTCAAGGAGGTTTGCGGGCGGTGCTCTGCCGACGACCAGTTCAACGGGAACTACGAGAAGCTGATCAAGATGTCGAATGTGGCGCCCGAGGAGAGGCCCTTCCCGCTGCAGAGCATCGCGGCGCACAAGAGGATGGGGCACACTGTCGTGGCGAACTTCGCTGCCAAGAAGGAGTCCGACATGGCGAAGGCGGATACAAAGGGCCTCGACCTCGAAGCTCTCGGAGAGAAGGCAGCAAGCATCCCTAGCCCGTTCAACGCGAACCAGACCCTCCAGGACATGGCCATCACGACCGACGACAGCGCCCCCTTCATCCAGGTCAAGGTGTGGTGCAAGGTGGAGATCGAGGACAAGATCGTCAACATGGACAGCAAGAAGCGCCTCCAGCAGTCGCAGCCAACCAACGTGTTTGACAAGATGCGGAAGTTACTGAATGACCAGTTGCCCGTGAGCTTGCGGGGAAACAAGCTTCCGCCATCTTTGGAGTTCTTGAAGAAGAAAGCATTGGGCATGGTGGGCAAGGACACGCCTGCTGAGTCGAAGAGGGGCCTGTTGGATGCCGAGGCCGAGACTGTTCCATGCGGTGGTGCAGACGCTGAGGGCGGCTCATCAACTGCGGCCGCTTCGCGTGATATGTTCCCGCTTGCTGCCGACAGCGGAGATCGTACTCCAAGACCTGCTCCACTACTGGGCGATCTCGCGGGGTCGCTAGCGACCGTCTCGCAGCCTTCGCCGTCGCCCAAGGCTGCTTGCAGGGTTGAGCCACGAGCGAGCCCCGACACCAAGAGTTGCATCAGCGATGGGGCGGGGACAACGACAGGTGCTGGGAAGCGGCGCGGGAAGAAGAGCGATAAGGAGAAGGAGGCCGACCTCCTTGCCAGGTTGGACTCCGCCAAGGTACTCCAGGGCCATTACAACGGCAGCGACGTGTACAATGCAACTCGGTTCGAGGACACCGCAAGCGACAGCAATGGCATCTCCAACGTGGGGCGTGCCAGACTCAAGTACGAGAGTGCCTACAAGATTGTGAATCCTGGCTCCGTCGACCAGTCCTTCTTGCACAAGACGCTGGAGGATCTCCACAAGAAGGGGCTGGTCTGGCCCCCAGAGTACGCCCTGAAGCACGTGAAGCTGCGCGTCAAGCACGCACACGAGGTCGAGGACATGGTTGACGCCATCATGCCACTGGGCCGCGAGGAGGATGACTACAACGACGCCGTTGAGAAGGCCGAGGACGAGGAGGAGCCAACCTTCGATCCGTTGAAGCCGCGTCTGCGTGATGTTCCTGCTGCTGAGCCTGCTGCCATGGTGTCGAGGTTCAGAAGCGTGGTCTCCGAGTTCCTCGTGCAGCCGCTGATCAAGGCAGGGAAGAACAACAAGTTGCTCATCAGATCCCTCCACCATGATACCTCCAACGTTCTCAAGGCCACCGACTGTGCCTTGCCAGGCACCAGCGCAGATGACGTTGCCATCCTGAAGAAGGCAGTCGATGAGCTGATTACCATCCTCAAGCTGCTGGAAGTCCTGGGTACGCCATCCGTGGAGCACATGGTCGGGATGGACCCTACGACGACGAAGAAGTTCTTGGACGGGAGTTTCGCTGAAGCCTGGCTGCCTTCGAAACAAGACCTCGGGGGCAGCAAATTTTGGTCGCCGTTGCTGGTGCAGTTCCTGCGGCACAGGGCGGACGAGTTCGCCATCGCCCCGAAGATGGCAGCCTTGCTGGTTGAGCTCAGCACCGACATCAACGACGAGAACAGGTTCAGGGAGATCGTGGCCGAGCTCAACCGCATGACGAAGTTGTGCAGGCCACTGTCTTGCGACAGCGGGTGGTGCAAACTGTTTGATAATATGGAGAGGTGGCTCGGCAAGAGCATCTCCAACGTGATGCCCGACGACGTCGAGAACATGAAGGACATCGACAACTTCGTCGAGGAGATCTGCAACGCCACTGCCTTCCCCGAGAACTCTTGGGTCGGGGGTAAGTTGGATTCCATGCGCCGCGTGTCCCTTGCGAAGCTGGAGGACATGAAGAAGATCGACGGCTCGAAGAGAATGCTTGATGCACTGGCCTCCTTCACTGCCAACCCAAACCTCGAGACGACGAACGTGCTGAAGAAAGTGAGCTACCAGAGGCACCTCCTCTTCACCGATGCGGAGCAGGTGACCGCCGCGCGGGAGGCTTTGCACGCAGGCACCTCGTTTGCGATGACAACGCTGGGGTCATATTCGTCTGCTGGTGGGCGTACTGCGGAGGAGTGGGTGAAGGCGTTGTCTCGGATCAAAGACATGAGGAACCTCTTGACGGGGAAGGTGTTTTCGTTCTTGTCCGAACCCGAGCCAGCCGACGAGGAGGCCAAGGTTTTGGGGGGCCTCATCTTAGACAAGGCGACTCTCGTCACGTGCTTCCTCGAGCTCCAAGCTGAAGGTGATGATGCAGAACAGCAGGCGGCATCCGATCAGGGCAACGACTCGTGCGAGAACTTGTGGGTTTCTTACAAGTCCGACCGCAGCCAGCTTTGGAAGTCGCAGATCGTCCTGGGCGCCAGCGAGAGCTGGAGCGACGCAGCCATCCAGTCTAAGTATTCCAAGTTCTTCATGGTGGAGTCGATGTCTGAGAGCGTAGCCGCGAACATCCAGACGGCCCTGAGTGAGTACGCCGTGGCATCACTGGCTTCGGAGGCGCAGGCGCTGAGCAAGGCGGTCGACCAGGTGGAGCAGCAAAAAGGATTGGGGGGGCATCGAATCCTACCCATCGTTCGCCCCATTGCACGTTGTCAGGCCACTGCCCCGCGAGGCACAGGTTTGAGAAGGGGCAGTGGGGGAGCGTTGCGGTGGCATTCGGCGCCTCCTGCGAGGAGGCCCACTCGATGGTGGCGACTACAGGGGCAACGATCCCGCAGCGAGAGCGAGGATGACCTACGATGAGGTAGCTTCAGCGGCCGAGGAGACGCTGTTCTCTGCGAAGATGAAGGGCTCGAGCAAGAGGCTCTCGCAGACGCGCCAGACGGCGCGAGAGGCATTGAAACACTACAAGAAGTCTGCGAGCGACCTGCACATTGACTTCAGCTCGGATGCGACGTTCGGCCCGCTTGAGAAGGCGGTCGTCGAGGGTACGAGGGGCATCGATTCAATTCTGGCTGAGCTCAAAATCATCCACAACCTTTCGAGGGATAAGAAAACAAGCCTAGCTCAGCGCCAGAGCCGCGTGGAGGAAGAGCTCAACCGCGCAAGCAACATGATCGGAGACGTTCCTGAGATACAGTTGCACGAGAGTGTGAAAACGAAGGCGCTTGAGTTCATGAGGGCCTGAAGCGGCAATCAACAGGCCGAGGCGATTCAACAGGACAGCTCGAGTTGAGTTGACGACCACGCGAGATTCTCGCACTAGCCTGGCGCTCGACAGTCTGGCAGTCTTCGTTCCGTGCTTGCGACTCGTCTGTGCTTGCAGCGTTGGCTAGTTCGGGATGCAGCAGTGGAGACCATCATCACCATCCACATCATCATTGCCATCGCCACCTCCTCCCCTCCACCATCGCCACCGCCCTGGGCTGCGAAGAGAATGCGGCAACGGGGGGGGGGCAAGGGACAGAAAGGGGCCTGGATGGGCCGTACGTTTTTGAGCTGACCCCCCCCCCGTCCAGAAATAGCCCAAGGATGTTGGCAGAGTTTTTCACGCCACGATCGTAAATCCATCCTGAATGCCACCCTGGCCTCTCCTTCCCTAATTGCCACCCTCCCTCCCCCTGGGAGCGATGCTTACATATCACTGCCCTTCTTCCTCGTCGTCACCCCCCTTGTCACTCTTTGACACCTCTCGTGCGCACCTCTCTTCACGTGCGTCCTCCTCCTGCCGCTCGTTGTCTTACCTTCCGCCCCCCGCCGAAGTCCCCCTGTGGCTTGCACGAGGGCCCCTAGGGACCCCAGTCCCTGTGTCCACCCTTTCCTCTCTCCGTAACTGTGCTCGTTTGCCGCTTCGTTCAATGTCCAACGACCGCTTCTCGGCCGCAGGGCCTTATTCCGTAGAAACGTTGGTTTCCAGCAGCATCCAGACGTAGGGCCTTGTTCGTTTCGAGTTTGTTGCCTTCTGGTGGCTTTAGATCGCGGAGTCGGCCCCAACCTCAATGTTTCCAATCCAGGGCTGGGAACAGATCCGATCAGCGCAACCGCCCTCCGTGAGCAGAAAAATAGGAGGCCACCAAACTGATGACCAAGGGGGGCGCCTCAGATCGCATAGCCAGTGGGCACGCGACCTTGGGACCGACCCCCAGGATCTAGAGCCACCAGAAGGCGACCACCTCATATCGATCAGCCTGTGGATCCCAGCTTTGCTGGAAACCGAGGCTTCTACCCAAGGAATTGGGCCAGCCGAGGGGCCGAGCGAGCGATAGGCGGCGGGCGAGCCTGGGGCAACCAGTGCAGCCGACGGACAAGCGAAAACAAACAAACACAATCAAATCCAAGGAATTGGGCCAGCCGAGGAGCCGAGCGAGCGATAGGCGGCGGGCGAGCCTGGGGCAACCAGTGCAGCCGACGGACGAGCGAAAACAAACAAAAATTACTCACTGCGTGGAGATCCCCATATGTGCATCTTTTTAAGGATAATTGTCAGTGGGATCTGGGAATGCGCGTCTAGCCATCTGGGCGCTTGGGACTGCTCCTGGGGCCTCTCGGGGCCCCCTGTTGCCTTCGAAGGCCTCCTGGCGCTTCCCCTCCTGAGGCTTCCTGAGGCCTCCCGGAGTTTCCTGGGGCCTCCTAGGGCCTCTTGGGACATCCTCTGGCCTCTTGAGTCTTTCTGTGGCCTCCTGATGCCTCCTGGGACCTCATGTGGTCTCCTGGGGCCTCGTGGAGCCTGTTGGAGCCTCCTGTGGCATCCTGAGGAGAATCTGTGCCCACGAGTCTGGCCACCGATCGAGACATCTTCAAAATCTGATCGAGACATCCTCAAAATCTTGCCCACCTGGGGGGTGAAAATGAGCGCCTCGCTGTGATATCCTCCAAATCTCCTCCGAAAGCGAAGGATGTTGGGACAGAAAACAGGCAAACCGCTTGAGACATCCCCACAAAACGGCCGCGAACGGGACCGTGAAAACACCCCTGGCGGCACCCCTTAGGGATGCTGAAAATGAGCGCCTCGCTCGAGACATCCTCCAAATCTGTTCCGAAAGCGAAGGATGTTGGGACAGAAAACAGGCAAACCGCTTGAGAAGTCCCCACAAAACGGCCGCGAACGTGACCGTGAAAACACCCCTGGTGGCTCCCCTTAGGGGGGCTGAAGCCAGCGCCCCGCCTGAGACATCCTCCCCACAAAACGGCCGCGAACGGGGCGTGCGTGAGTCTCACCATGAGTAAGTCTGAGTAGGAGTAGGCCTGAGTATGAGTAGGTCTGAGTAAGAGTAAGTTTGTGTGTGAGGAAGTCTGGGTATGAGTAAGTCTAAGTGTGAGTCAGTCTGTGTAGGAGGAAGTCTGGGTATGAGGAGGAGAGGGGGGAGAAGAGGAAGAAGAAGGAGGAGTAGGAGGCGTCTAAGTAATTACTCGACGCGGGGCTCCCCATATGTGCATCTCATTCACTTGGTACGTCTTTCTCTTGATATCTGTCAATGAGCGCCTGTGTGCGAGGGCGAACCGCTCGCTCGAGACATTCCCACAGTCTGCAAGCATGAGTGCGACCAAAAGCAAATCTGAGAGCGACTGATTCTGAGTGTGAGTTAATCTGGGTGCGATTGAGCCTGGGTTTGAGTGGGTATGCGTGTGAGTAAATATGAGCGCGAGTGCGTCTGTGTGCGAGTGGGTCTGAGTATGGACGAATCTGAGTGTGAGCCAGTCTGTGATTGAGCGGATCGTAGCATGATGAGTCTGAGCATGAGTGAGCCTGGGCTTGAGTGGGTCTGGGTGTGAGAAGAAGTGTGCGTTAATGAATCTTAGTGCGAGTGAGCCGAGTGTGATTGGGTATGGATGCGAGGCAGTCTGAGTGTGAGTCTGTCTGCGTTTGAGCGGACCGAAGGATGATGAGACTGAGCAGGAGCGAGTCTGAGTATGAGTGGTTCTGAGCGTGAGTCTGAGTGTGAGTAATTTTAAGTATGGATATGAGCGAGTCTAAGTGCGAGTGAGCCTGCGTGCGACTGAGTTTGAGTATGAGTGAGTATGAATGCAGAAGAGTGAAGGAGAGCGGAGAGCGAAGGAGAGTGAGGCGGAAGCGTTTGAGTAAAACCTAAAGCTTTGGAACATCGAACCTCGATCGTCTGGCCCTGGCTACTCGAGTTGCCCACGTCCTCCTCCTCCTCCTCCTTCTCCTCATCATCATCATCATCATCTTCCTCCCCTTCCTGCTTCTGTTCCTACCGTGTTCATGCTGTCCTCCTTCTCCTCCTCCTCCTCCTCCGCGTCCTCTTCCTCCTTCTCCTCGCTTCCTCCTTCTCTTCCTCCTCCTCCTCCTCCTCCGCCTCCTCCTCCTCCTCCTCCTCCTCCTCCTCCTTGGGAGTGCTGAAACCAGCAAATCGCCTGAGACATCCTCCCAAAACTGCTCCGAAAACGACAGATGCCCAGCATCATAACGGCCAAACCGCCTGAGACATCCCCGCAAACTGGGCGCGAACGTCCTCCAAATCTGCTCCGAAAGCGAAACATGTTGGAAGAGAAAATGACCAAACCGCCTGAGGCATCCCCACACAATCCCGCGAAAGGGGCCGAGTGAAATACCCCTCCCGCCGTTCCCCTTAGAGTGCTGAAGCCAACGAATCGCCTGAGACATCCTCCAAATCTGCTCCGAAAGCGAAACATGTTGGAAGAGAAAATGGCCAAACCGCCGAGACATCCCCACAAAATCCCGCGAGAGGGGCCGAGTGAAACACCCCCCCGCCGCTCCCCTTAGAGTGCTGAAGGCAACGAATCGCCTGAGACATCCTCCAAATCTGCTCCGAAAGCGAAACATGTTGGAAGAGAAAATGACCAAACCGCCTGAGACATCCCCACAAAATCCAGCGAGAGGGGCCGAGTGAAATACACCCTCCGCCGCTCCCTTTAGGAGTGCTGAAACCAGCGAATCGCCTGAGACATCCTCCAAATCTGCTCCGAAAGCGAAACATGTTGGAGAGAAAATCGCCAAACCGCCTGAGACATCCCCGCAAAATCCTGCGAAAAGGGCCGAATGAAATACCCCCCCGCCGCTCCCTTTAGGAGTGCTGAAGCCACAGAATCGCCTGAGACATCATCAACATCAGTGTGTGTGTGTGATCCGATGAGTGGACCTGAGTGAATGTAGTGAATGTATGAGTGCAAGTACGAGTGAGTCTGAGTGATGAGTGAGTCTGGGTGATGAGTGAGTCTGAGTGATGAGTGAGTCTGAGTGATGAGTGATGAGTCTGAGTCATGACTGAGTCCGAGTGATGACTGAGTCTGAGTGATGAGTGAGTCTGAGTGATGAGTGGGTCTGAGTGATGAGTGTCTGAGTGATGAGTGAGTGGGTCTGAGTGAGAGGAGTGGTGTGTTCTCTCTCCTCCGGCGCGGTCCGCCAATTATTCACTGCGTGGAGCTCCCCATATGTGCATCTATTCGCATGGACCTGTCCGCCGTGAATGTCTAGGCGCAAGAGCTTTCGAATATAAACGGGCTTCAGTTGTGGCGGTCTGGTCATGAATCTAACTGCGAATGAATTGGAGTGTGAATGAGCCTCAGTAGTACGAGCGCGTCTCTGCGCATGAGCCTGGGGCCTCCTGGGGCCTCCTGAACCCTACTGGGGCTTCCTGGGGCCTCCAGGAGCCTCTTGGGGCCTCCTGGGGCCTCCTGGGACCTCCCAGGGAGGCTTCGTGCCCCAGGAGAGGCCCAATATATAGCAACCGACGTACATAAAACATTACGGATTGGAGCCACAGGAGAAGGGCAATCTATAGGAACACACGTAAAGCACCAAGGACTCGTGCCCCAGGAGAGGCCCAACATATAGGAACATAAGTAAAACATTTAGGATTGTGTTCACAGGAGAAGGACAATCTATAGAAACATACGTATAACGTCAAGGATTCGTGCTCCAGGTGAGGCCCAATCTATAGGAGCATACGTAAAACACATGGGATTGGAACCACTCCTGTTGCCTTCTGAGGCCTCCTGCTCCTGGGGCCTCTCGGGGCCTCCTGTTGCCTTCCGAAGTCTCCTGGCGCTTCCTGTGGCCTCCTGGGGCCTCCTGTGGCTTCCTGAGGCCTCCTGGAGCTTCCTGGGGTTTCCTGGAGCCTCTTGGGACATCTTGTGGCCTCTCGAGTCTTTCTGTGGCCTCCTGGTGCCTCCTGGGACCTCATGTGGTCCCCAGGGGCCTCCTGG